TACAAAAAATACCAGGAAAAGAGAGATGAGGCTTAGGGGCACACTGTTCTGCGTTCTGCAGTCAGGACTTTTGTTTCCAGTAAAAATATCAGTGACCTTCCTTCTTGAACTTTGAAATGTTTTAGCAAACTAAGTTACAGCATCTCCCGAACCTTCAGAAACCTTCCTCTGCGTGGCAGCCTCAGTCTTTCCTTGGTGGTCTCCCATCCAGGTACTAACCAGGGTCGGCCCTGCTTAACGTCTGAGATCTGGCTGCCATTGAGAGAATGGCGGGGTAGAAATGGGTTAATTTTTTAATATAAATAAAACTGTATAAACAATTTCTGGAAGGCCTGGAGATCTGTGGCTATGAGTGTGACCTAGAAAGCCCCATTTCAGCCGTGGCCTCACCAGGGGTCCTGTGACGTGCAGTTCTCTTTTCGCCGCAGTCCAGCAGTTGTTGTCTTGTGGGGGATGACGCTGGCTTTACAGGCCCGTTTTCACAGGTTATGGAGCTGCGGTGGCTCAAGTGGTTAAGACGCTGAACTGCAGGCTGTGGAAGGTCGGTAGTTCAGCAGTTCGAGACCCGAGTGCCGCATGACGGAGTGAGCTCCCGTCTCTGGTTCCAGCTCCTGCCAACCTAGCAGATCAAAAGCAAGAAATTGCAAGTAGATAAATAGGTACCACTTTGGTGGGAAGGTAACAGCGTTCCGTGCGCCTTGGTGTTTAGTCATGCCGGCCACATGACCACGGAAACGTCTTCGGACAGCGCTGGCTCTTCGGCTTTGAAACGGAGATGAGCACCACAACCCTAGAGTCGGATTCGACTGGCTTTCGAGCAAGGGAACCTTTACCTTTACCTTTCACAGGTTACTGAATGTATGTGCAGTACTTTGGACACTTGAGAAATGCTGGGTGTCCTTTAAAGCAGGGATGAGATGGGAAACCGGGGTGGTGGGGGTGGGGGTGGCGGCTGGAGGGGCACGCCAAGTTTTAAGGAAGTTGTGGTAGAAAGAGGGGAGAGCCAGTGTGGAGTAGTGGTCGAGGCCAGAGTGCTGAACTGGGATTGGGGAGACCCGGGCTACAGAAGCTTGCTTGGTGACCTCGGGGTGGTCACATGCTCTCGGCCTAACCTACATCATTGGGTTGTTGTGAGGATAAAATGCAAGCAAGAAGAATGATGTAAGCCATTTCAGGTCCCCATTGGGGTAGGGTTGCCAGCTCCAGGTTTGGAAATACCTGGAGGTTCTGGGGGTGGAGCTTGAAGAAGAAGAGAAGAAGAGATTGTATTTATACCCCGCCCTTCACTACCCAAAGGTGTCTCAGAGCGGCCTACAAACTCCTTTCCCTTCCCCTCGCCATAACAGACACCCTGTGAGGTAGGTGGGGCTGAGAGAGCTCTTTCCTGGACTGCTCTTTTTCAAGAACAGCTCTTATCAGAACTATGGCTTGCCCAAGGTCATCCAGCCAGGTGCAAGTGGAGGAGTGGGGAATCGAACCCGGTTCTCCCAGATTAGAGTCCGCGCACTTAACCACTACACCAAACTGGCTCTCAGGGTGGGATTTGGGGAGGGGCTTCAATGGGGTGTAATGCCATAACGTCCAATGCTCCCTCTAAGCTGTGGAGACCTGTGAGCAAGAATTCTACTTTGAGAGCTACTGGCACTAAAGTTGTGAGCGAGCGATTTGGCTGCTGCATCAGTTAGTCTGCTCTGGAGCCCGCCTTCCTGAGCGAAGACAAACAATGTGTGAGCCAGAGGCTAAAAAACTGTGAGCTGGCTCACTCTAACTCAGCTTAGAGGGAACACTGGCGTCCACCCTCCAGAGCCACCATTTCCTCCAGGTGAACAGATTCTCTGTCGCCCGGAGATCAGTTGTCATCTCAGGCAATCCCCAGCCACCACCTGGAGGTTGGCAACCCTACATTGTGTGGGGGGGAATCGATGAAGTCAATAAAGGTAAAGGTTCCCTTGCTCGAAAGCCAGTCGAATCCGACTCTAGGGTTGCGGTGCTCATCTCCGCTTCCAAGCTGAAGAGCCAGCGCTGTCCGAAGACGTTTCCGTGGTCATGTGTCCGGCATGACTAAACACCAAGGCACACGGAACGCTGTGACCTTCCCACCAAAGTGGTACCTATTTATCTACTTGCAATATCTTGCTTTCGAACTGCTAGGTTGGCAGGAGCTGGAACTAGAGACGGGAGCTCACTCCGTCATGCGGCACCCGGGTCTCGAACTGCTGAACTACTGACCTTCCACAGCCTGCAGTTCAGCGTCTTAACCACTTGAGCCACCGCAGCTCCGAAGTCAATAAACCAGTGGTTAAAATGTGCCTCTGATTTCCCTGGTGAAGGAGGGCAACCAGTGACCCTGGCTGTCCCATCGACTGCAGGGAAGTCAAAAGCTCAGCTGACCTCTCTTGAGTGGCACTTCCAGGAAGTGTGTTTGCTCTGCCACCCCCTCCCCCCCAGTTATCTAGAGAACCCGTGCACCATGTACCCCTGGAGCAGCACCAGCAGCATTACAGGTTGTGTGATGGGGGGGGGGAGGAATGTTCTGGTCTCCAGATTGACACCTGGAGCATCTAGAGCTCCCCTGAAGACACAGAAGTTGCGCCTCCGAGTCCCAGGGCGTCAAAGCAAATATAATGTGCCTGCAGTTTGCAAGGCTCGCCGTCGTGCAGCTGCCGGCGCCTCGTGCGCAGGGATTCCCCCTCTCCGTCCCCACCCCCCTCCCGCCTACTCTTGGAAAGCGCTGCCTCATCCCCGCTGTCAGGAAGGAGCCATTTCCTGAATGCATGGGGCTTGAGTCACTGGCAGCTCCCCCCGTCAGAGCTTTAACTCCTCCCTTGCCATGCCTCTGGCTGTGTGTGTGTATGCACACGTACATAGGCGGGGGAAAGGGGGTGGTGGTGGAGGGAGAAGTGGCGGCCAGCCCTGAGGTTGATGCAATCGCCCTGTGCCTGATGTGCTCCTGTGCCTGACAGGAGCTCTTAGACCCACTTGTTTAAATCCTCCGTCTCTTTTAATGAGAACTCCTCACCCTTGAAAAACCTAGCAGGGGGAGAGGTGGAGCTTCAAGGGAGCGGGGTGGGGTGGGGGGTGTCATGAGCCTGCCAGGGGGAGGGAAGCGAAGCCTGCACTGCTTCCTTCCCCTCCCCCCCCCAGCCGCCGCCGCCGCCGCCGGCTTCAGAGAAGTTCAAGGGCTGAAGATGAAGTGAGGGATGACCTCAGCTGCTTCTCCCTGGGCTGGTGAGAGAGAGAGAGAGAGAGAGAGAGAGAGAGAGAGAGAGAGAGGGAGAGAGAGGGAGGGAGGGAGGGAGGGTTGGCCAAGACAGCCTGGCAGTCCAAGGCATGTGCCCAGCTGGGGCTGGGGGTGGATTTCTCCGTGGGCAACTTTCCAAGGGTCGGTTGGCATCTGAGACGTTAATGTGGGAGGATCATAAAGCACCTTCTTCGTTTTTTTTCAGAGAGAGAGAGAGAGAGAGAGAGAAATCCTTCCTGGGGGGCATAATTTGGAAGTCTGGGAGTTTGTGTGGGAAACGATTACATCAGTCGCAGGGAGGGCCGGGATTGGTCTGCACAGTATGGTTTGATTCACTACCTAAAAGATTGTGTGTAACCCTTTGCGTGAAGCGGCTCGGGCGGACTTGCCAGCCTGCCTGCCTGCCTCCCCCACCCCCACCCCAGGAAAAAGAGAGAGTGCGCACACAGTAGCGCCAGGGACTGGCTCAGGTAGAGTCGGAATTGCAAAAGCACCTGGAAAGGTGAGGGGGGGGGGGAGAGCGAGTTTGCAGCTCGGAGTTGCGAAGGATTTCAGGAGGCAGAGAAAAAACTCTCTCTCTCTTTCTCTCTCAAAATGCCTTCTTGTTCTTCCGATTGCTGCCTCTTACAAGCTGCAGAGGTAAGATTCTCTCCCCCCCCCCCCATCACATTACCTTCGTCCTTTTCCAGCTGAAATATGATCATGTTGGGAAGCAGGCTGAGCCTTTTGAAACAGAGGGTTAAGTCTTGAGGCTGTGCAGTTAATCCTGTGGGAGCCGTTTGTGCAGTGTGGACGTGGTTTAAGAGGCGTAATGCCGCGCATCCGTCTCCTTTCGTTAATACTTGGAACGTACACCGTTGGGGGGGGGTGTAGGGGGGAATAATTCTAGCAATTGATCTTTTGATTAAAAACAAACAAACACTGCAAGTGTGAGCGCCTAAAAGTTAAACAGTCAAAAGTTACTACGGAACAGACATGGCTCTCCTCCCCCCCCCCCATTTTTAGCTCAGTGACAAAGCCATAAAACAATTCAGAAGAAGAATGTGTTCCTGACTGCACTAATGGAAGGCATCCTTCCTTTTGAAGCTGGGACTTGGGGGATTTTTCGCCTTGGTGAATTTTGTTGCGTGGAAGTCCAGTATTCCCCAGGGGGATGGGAAAGAACAATAATGTCTGTAAAGCAAGCTGTGTGCAGTAAGTCTGGGGAGATCCTAGAGGCATCCTGTGTAGAGCTGTGGATGGTGTGGACTTAGAAGGGCGCAGAAGATAGCCGTGGACCCAAAATTAATCTTCCTCAGGAACCTCTGCTTTGCCAAGGAATAAAAGCAGCTTTGTAGGCCCTGCAAAGCGTATTTCTCACTCTTGTAGCTACAATGAGACCTGGGGAGATGGGGGGGAAAATGTCTGCTGAAATCACAGGAACCAGAGATGTGGCTGAATACAGTTCTGAGTGGGGGTGGGGTGGGGGTGTCCAGGAGCTACAGCACTTCATTTCACCCTTCCCATGATTTTGCAAAACTAGGAACAGTTATGCAAAACAAGAAATCCTTCAAACAGGCTCAATTTGCATGATTTAGATTGGCTTTTTGGTGCAGGATTTGGAACGCCTCTCTGCATAGCACCCACAAATCCCAAACCGTGTAGAGGTCACTCTCCAGTTTTCTTTCTTGTTTTTCCATTGTTTCTTTCTTTTTCTTTTTTGGACTACCAGGCTGCTGTTTAGTAAAAGTTGTATCCCCCCTTTTTTTTTGTATTGCAGGATGTAAAAGTCTTTAGTGAAGATGGGACATGCAAAGTGGTCGAGATCCTAGCGGATATGACAGCCAGGGACCTCTGCCAGTTGCTGGTTTACAAAAGCCATTGTGTGGATGATAACAGCTGGACTCTAGTGGAGCACCACCCTCTTCTAGGATTAGGTAGGGACTCCTCCAGGATGGAATCCCCCTTTTAAAATGTGTGCCTTTGATATGTCGTGAATGGGGCCCGTCCCTTCCAGATGGCTTATTGCAAACGTAGATGCCTGTGAAGCAATTAACTGAAATAATTTCCATGTGACAGTTCTGGTGCTGCGCATTTGAGCGGGTCTTAAGCAGTCTTTCCCTCTAAGCTGAGTTAGTGTGAGCTAGCTCACCGTTTCTTAGCCCCTGGCTCACACATTTTTGTCTTCGCTCAGGAAGGAGGGCTCCAGAGCAAACTAATTGATGCTGTAGCCAAATCACTTGCTCACAACTTTAATGCCAGTAGCTCACAAAGTAGAATTTTTGCTCACAAGACTCCACAGCTTAGAGGGAACATTGGTCTTAAGTAGGTGGGCAGGGTCCGTTGGGCTGAGTATCTGTGGAACAATGTCTGTGAAACGGGACTGACATTCGTACATTGATCCTGGCAATTCCAGGTAAATCGTGTGAATGTCCAAAACATAGTCCTTTTCTTTTCTTTTTTGACATAAAATAACTGAATGCTGCTGATTACATTTAGGTGACAAAACCTCTGGAGTTTGGGGGAAGGGTGCTCGTGCAATTCAACGGCAATTCCCAATGCTCGTCGAAAAGTTTAGGCATGCACTAACCGTGTTTTTTAATGCCGGTGACTATTCCGCATAAACAATTTGCACCAGCTAAGTTGGACTCCCAGCAGAGAGCTGGGTTTCCTAGTCATCCACAGAGATCTGGGGCCTGTGTCATTACACACACACACCCCCTCTGAAAAAGCCTGGCATGGAGGGGAAGAGAGAGGTGCTTTCTTGGGCTTGGCATCGCAGAACGGAGAGCTGCAGTGCCCCTTCTTGGTGCATCGTGGGAAGCTCTTGTACAAACCTTGCAGGCACCTTCTTTCTCATCGGCAGCCGTTCTTCCACCTGCTTGGAAATTAAGGTGCCATGGTTACAGTTGGCAAGAGGGAGAACTGTGGGAAGTTAAATGACATATGGGCTTGGTTTTAATTGCTTATCTGAAAGATTCGGATACTGCTTCACGTGCGTGTCCTCCTGTACATTCCTTCCGATGCCTTCGTGGCGTACTGCCCTGTCCAACTTCAGCCTCTTAATTCCCAAAAAAAGTACTTTGGAGGTTGCAGAATAAGGCCTGTGTGTAACAAGGCGCTCATAAATATTAACAGTGGATTTGATTTGGATGGCTGTGACTTGAAAGGGAATAAAAATCGTGATCAGGCAAGGGGGGGAAGAAAAGAAGCAGGCGCGGGTTGTCAGTGGAACTCATTAGACTTCTGTGGCAGTGCCCTCTAAAGCTATTCCAGAAACGGGGGACCTTTCAAGCCTAGGGTTTTTACAGAAGAGTGGACAATTCTTCCACATGCCGTGCTTTCTCAAATGAATAGGGTTATGTGAAGCAAAGATGCTTATTGCAAATTCATGCCGGTGGAAGATTTTCAGAGTAGGTTTGACTTTATGGAAATCTGCTACAGAATCAATGCAAGGCAGTAATTTTTATACAGACGCGCAGGGGTCATTTCGTAGAAAAAGAAGTGCAGGAGCTCATTAGCATAACTCATTAGCATAATTTATTTGCATCTGCCACGCCCCCTGACATCACCGGAAGTGTGTCAGAAGGCAACACCCACCGCTCAGGCGCCACTGGACTGTTTTGGATTGCTAGCTATTGGGGGGGAGGGGAACGTGCAGATCTGTCCTCGCAGAGGAGGGAGAGCTTGTACCTGAATAAAACTTGGTCTTAAAGGTGCCACTGGACTGTTTTGGACTGGGGGGCTGCGGGGGGCTGTGCAACTTACCTGGCTGCTTCTTGCTCTGACTGAGGGCTGCTGGGAGCAGGGGGTGGGGCTTGTTGCATGTGCCCGCCCCCTGGGCGCTTTACTGCCGGAGCTCCGCTCCTGTGCGCTCCTGCAGGAAATGACCCCTGCCCGCGACTCAGTTCAGGCAGCATCCTGGCTGTCGTTCTCTGCACCAGCTGTCGCTTTCAGGACTGTAGGAAAAGACAAAACGACAAATACCACAACCATATCTAGCAGTCATCTAATCTTTTAAAACCTGCCTTAAGTATCTCTCCCCCTCCCCACCTGATAGTTTAGAATTCTCGGTCGCCTCTCCATGATCGCCCTTTTCCCCATCCGAGATGACCAAGGTATTGTGTCAACCAAGGCTTTTCTCCTTTGTGCCCAGGATCGTTCTCCTGCCAGATTCATTCAGTGATGCCACAATTCAGTGTCTGTGACATCACAATGGCTTCCATGGCGACTAATTGTGCTGTCAAACTTCACTGTGTGACATCCCTGAATGAATCGGGCAGGAGGCTGATTAGGAAATCAAAAGCTTCTGTTTACACACAAATAACTTGGTAATTAACGGTGATGGGAAAGGAGCAATATCCTTATCAGTCGGTATTTTATTTCAGCCAGCATTGTACGTCTAATGAAAATTCATTTTGCTGGCAAAAAAAAAAAGACATATCCAGGATTGGAGCAATGCGTAAATTAGTTTGGGTCCCGGTGGAGCCTTTTCAGAGGCCGAAATATAGTGTCTTTGAGTTAAAAGTGTAATAATAAGCATTTATATAGTGCTTTAAAGGATTCGAGACACTTCATAAACATTCCCGTGATCCTTACAAGAACTACCTGCATATTATAATCAATGCTCCCTCTAAGCTGTGGAGTCTGGTGAGCAAAAATTCTACTTTGTGAGCTACTGGCATTAAAGTTGTGAGCGAGTGATTTGGCTACTGCATGAATTAGTTTGCTCTGGAGCCCTCCTTCCTGGGCCGAGACAAAAACGTGTGAGCCAGAGGCTAAAAAACCGTGAGCTGGCTCACACTAACTTAGCTTAGAGGGAACACTGATTAATAACTAGTACCTGGGTTGCGGTGGCTCAAGTGGTTAAGGCGCTGAACTGCAGGCTGTGGAAGGTCGGTAGTTCAGCAGTTCGAGACCCGGGTTGCCGCATGACGGAGTGAGCTCCCGTCTCTGGTTCCAGCTCCTGCCAATCTAGCAGTTCGAAAGCAAGAAATTGCAAGTAGATAAATAAGTACCACTTTGGTGGGAAGGTAACAGCGTTCCGTGCGCCTTGGTGTTTAGTCATGCCGGCCACATGACCACGGAAACGTCTTCGGACAGCGCTGGCTCTTCGGCTTTGAAACGGAGATGAGCACCGCAACCCTAGAGTCGGATTCGACTGGCTTTCGAGCAAGGGAACCTTTACCTTTACCTTTACCTGGGTTGCCAACCTCCTGCTGGTCTCTGGAGTTCTCCCAGAATTACAACTGACCTCCAGAACTACTGAGATTTCTTTCCCAGGAGCAGATGGCAGTTTTCGAGGGTGGTCTCTGTGACATCACATCTCTGCTGAAGCTCCCTTCCCAAACTCTGTCCTTGAATCTTGAGGACGTTCCCAGCCTGGAGTTGGCAACCCTAACTGGTAGGCTGAGAAGGTGTCACAACATGCCTACGGCTGCATTAGTGGAGGGCCTTAAACAAGCAAGTTTGGATTTAGGAGCTTCTTGGTCCCCCCCAGTTCATGATTCTTGACTGCCATTTGACATTATTTCACGTGTGTAAGAAAAGAGTTCAGCGAATAGGAGTGCGTAGTTAGTAGAGTGTCTTAACATCTGAGATGGATTGACTCAGCCAAGCAAGTCACGGCCCTCGGTTTGCAAGACCTGTACAATGATAGGCCGTTTTGCCTACGGCCATACCACCCTGAACACGCCCGATCTCGTCTGATAGGCCGTTTTGGGGGACATTAATTCCATAGGGTCGCCATAAGTCCAACGCAACTCAGTGGCACTTAACCTAAGGAACATTTTATTGGGAACATTTGGCTCTACAATCTCAGGAGAATATATAGTTGACCACAGAGAAGTACCACTGGACATGTGATTGCACTGGAGGCTTCATTTGTATTTTTGTATTTCTTTTCTATGCCCAGTGGTTAAACTTTGGAACAATTGTTTTCTGGTCTTTATTCCATATTTTGTATATGTATGATTGTATATATTTTTACATATCAGCCAACATGTTCTGTTTAGGTCTATTTCATTAGCCCTTGTATGTTATTTGTATATGAGGTATGAATGGGCCCTTGTTTGTTATTTTAATTTATGTTGAATAAATACATGTATATTTTTGTATGTTTCATAATTAGATTTTTAGAGTTGGCCCTCTTCTATTCTTGACTAACCTTTTTGGGTTCTGAATTCTAGGTTTTAGGTTCAGTTTTTTCCCCCTTTTCTCTGTTTTTGTCCTTACTTAACACACACAAACCATTAACATCTCCTTTTTGATATGTGCTGTTTATAAAAATGTCAGGTTGCTTCCCATTATTGTTTTGAGCATGAAGGCATATCTGTCTGTAGCCAGGAGTGGTGAGCCTCGAACATGGAACTTTTCATCTTCACGTGCAATCCAAAGCAGAGTTACGTGAGCTTGTTGAAGTCTGAGAGCTAGGAAGGAGGCAGCTCTGCTTTTAGGATTGCACTGCTGACACTCAGATGTGTCTTTGGCTAACTGGCTGCTGGCAGATGTGAAATGCATCTAACTGTTCCCAAATTATAAAGAGGCACATTTGGCAAGGTTGACTTCCAACACGCCGGAAATAATGTCTTATGAAGTTGAAGTAGAAAAGAGCAAGAGTCCAGTAGCACCTTAAAGACTAACAAAATTTGTGGCAGGGGACAAGCTTTTGTGAGTCACTGCTCACTTCTTCAGATGCAGCTAGTAGGACGTGAGTCCATCTGTCCCCTGTATCTTGGAGAGAGGAGTGATTTCAGATACTGAATGACAATAGCAGGCGAATGACAATAGCAAGTGAATGACAGCAGCAGGCATGATTGGATTAGGTGTGATATGCAGAGGGGTAGGAGGCATGGAGAAATCAGCACCAGCACCGATAATGAGACAGGAAACCTAGGTCTGGATTCAGCCCAGGAGGATGCATTGGCTTGAGTTTCAG